CAGGAGGGATAAGCCAAATGACAAATAATTTAGGTAAACTAGAAAAATGGTCAGAATTGTGGCAACTGACATTTAATGTGAATAAGTGCAAGATAATGCATCTTGGACGTAAAAACCCAAGGGCAGAGTACAGAATATTTGATAGAGTCCTAACCTCAACATATGAGGAAAGGGATTTAGGGTGATTATTTCTGATGACTTAAAGGTAGGCAGACAATGTAATAGAGCAGCAGGAAATGCTAGCAGAATGCTTGGTTGTATAGGGAGAGGTATTAGCAGTAGAAAGGGAAGTGCTCATGCCATTGTACAGAACACTGGTGAGACCTCACTTGGAGTATTGTACACAGTACTGGAGACCGTATCTTCAGAAGGATATTGATACCTTAGAGGGTTCAGAGAAGGGCTACTAAACTGGTTCATGGATTGCGGGATAAAACTTACCAGGAAAGGTTAAAGGATGTTAACATGTATAGCTTGGAGGAAAGACGAGACAGGGGGGATATGATAGAAACATTTAAATATATAAAGGGAATCAACACAGTAAAGGAGGAGACTATATTTAAAAGAAGAAAAACTACCACAACAAGGGGACATAGTCTTAAATTAGAGGGACAAAGGTTTAAAAATAATATCAGGAGGTATTACTTTACTGAGAGGGTAGTGGATGCATGGAATAGCCTTCCAGCTGAAGTGGTAGAGGTTAACACAGTAAAGGAGTTTAAGCATGCGTGGGATAGGCATAAGGCTATCCTAACTATAAGATAAGACTAGGGACTAATGAAAGTATTTAGAAAATTGGGCAGACTAGATGGGCCGAATGGTTCTTATCTGCCGTCACATTCTATGTTTCTATGTCACATTCTATGAAACATACATAAAACACACCAAAAACATATTCATAATTCACAGGAACCCCACAAGTCTTATATACCCAAATAGCCTGAATCAGAGTGCCCAATGTGTCCAAATAACACTCAGATCCATTTGGCAGAACAAAATCGCCATTCAGGTAAAGTTCTGAGAAAAGGGGGCAATGGCCGGTCTACTTTTGGGAGTTCCTGTGCAAACACCGACGAATGTTCCCCCTGGTTTGAGGGAGCGATTGGGACAGGCAGCGGTACAATCTTTGCCCAGTTTCGGTACGGACAACTGAACAGAAAGGGAAGGAGTCTGCTACACCATCATTCTACAGTGAGACTAATTTTTCAAAAGTGGAAAACATAAGGGGCGTGACTGAAAGCCGTGCTGATCAGATGCATCTATGAGTTCCGCAACACGGGACCCGGAAAATTAGCTTACCGATGGCTAAATCTAACTGCAAGCCTCACTGACCCATAATGTCTCAGAACAAGTCCAAAGGCCAGCAAGACCGAGCAGACTAATCTAATTTCTATAGCAAAAAAGTGGCAAAACCGCAACACTGTCGGAAATCCAAGATGGCGCCAATGGGCCTGCAGCCGCGAGCCCAATACAGGATCCTGAAACTGCCACAGAAATAGACCCCCTGACACGTGGCATGTTTCAAGCATCCCTAGATGCACTATCTGCCAAACTCATCACCACTTGGCAATATGGCATGGACACCCAGTGCAGGGATATCCAGGACTTGGGAGCCAGAACCTCACATATAGAGGGAAAATTACCGAATATGCTGAAGCCCATAACATAATGGCAGACTCCATTCAACAAATAGAAACAAAGATGGAGGCATATTAAGCACGACTAGCAGCCATGGAAGATAGATCCTGTCTGAATAATCTCCGCTTACACGGCATTCCGGAAGCCATCAAACCTCAATATCTCCATGAATATGCTGTGGGCCTGTTGCACAACCTGGCTCCAGATTTGCCAAAAGACCTACTACTACTGGACAGAATACACAGGCTCCCTCATCCGCACCATTTGCCTGACACGGTGCCCAGAGGTGTTATCCTAAGAGCTCACTACTTCCATGCCAAAGAGCTCATCCTAAATAACAGCCGCACCAAAAAGGACTTACCAGCGGACTAGCCAGTGACAGAGGTCCTCCGTGAGAACAACATCTTGTACCACTGGGGCTTCCCTACCAAGCTCCTGATTAACAGGTATGCGACTTAAACCACCGCAAAGTCCCCTGAGGATGGCCTCCAGATCCTCCAACAATGGAACCTATCGACCAGCTCCGTTTCACTGACAAGGCCCCACCCTGGAAAGCAGAGACCAGAATGGCAGAAGGCACTGGAGAAACGCAAAGCTCAAGCTTAACCGTGAGCAGTACCAGAGACTTGCATTATATTTCTCACACATAGTTACCCTAGTACCACTATATATCCTCCTTTCCATGGTGCATATCTATGGTGCTTGAAGTGTCCCTTTTAGTGTTTTTACATTGTTGCAATGCTTTTTGCAACAATTTTTTTTTTTTTAAATAATTCCCTTAAAGGACCACTATAGTGCCAGGAAAACATACTCGTTTTTGTGGCACTATAGTGCCCTGAGGGTGCCCCCACCCTCAGGGACCCCCTCCCGCCCGGCTCTGGAAGGGGGAAAGGGGTAAAAACTTACCTTTTTCCAGAGCTGGGCGGGGAGCTCTCCTCCTCCGATCCTCCTTCTCTCTTCCCCGTCGGCTGAATGCGCACGCGCGGCAAGAGCTGCGCGCGCATTCAGCAGGTCGCATAGGAAAGCATTATCAATGCTTTCCTATGGACACTGGCGTGCTCTCACTGTGATTTTCACAGTGAGAATCACGCAAGCGCCTCTAGCGGCTGTCAATGAGACAGCCACTAGAGGATTTGGGGGAAGGCTTAACCCATTCATAAACATAGCAGTTTCTCTGAAACTGCTATGTTTATAAAAGAATGGGTTAACCCTAGAAGGACCTGGCACCCAGACCACTTCATTAAGCTGAAGTGGTCTGGGTGCCTAGAGTGGTCCTTTAATGAGGGATTTGAAATGCCATTTATGCCTTTTCTAACACACTGCCAAACCCCTGCGGCCCAAAGAGCACACGTGGCCTATGTCCCCAAAAATAAGCCTCACTATATCCCCTACACCGCACAAAACAAAACAAAATAATAAATAAATAAAAAATAATTATAATACAGCTAGGGGACAACCACACACATGATCCCTTATAACCCCACCGTTCTAAGCCTAAGAAATTCATATGGTGTATACACACGTTATCGGCATCATACAATTGTTACCATCAATAGTTTTAAATGTGGTCGACAGGCTGTGTGTTTTCCTTTTTTTTCTTCTTTTATTGTACAGTTAAGCCATAGATGTAATGTTAATGTTATTTGACACGTTGTTCCAGCCTACCCTGGGACCCACTAGGCCATTATCCATGCCCCCCTATGGAATCTGTTTCCGCATCATACCCAATGACATGGGTATCGCTGTATATTTTTTCCTTTTGTTCCTGTAGTTTAAAACACCCTCCTGACTACCTTACCTGTGATACCCGCACCTGCCCAATTCAGACTCACTAAACAGGCTCCCTGATGTGCCATTCACCACGTGGAGAATGATAACAAGCCTGCTCAGACCCCTGAGGCTCCTTGAAGTTCAGTTTCTGTATAACTCCCTGCCTCAGCCAGACGCCCAGTTTCTAGCCTGGGCTGCTGACACGCATACCACCAATCTACACCACCCACAACTTCTTGTCCCATTTAGATCTGCTTCCTCCTATATAGACATATCCATTAGAAAATCAGCACTCACCTGCCTCCTACTTTATGAGAATATCACAAAACAGAAAAGTGCTGGTGCGCATACATATGTATAGAACCCCTCAAGTGTTGAAAAGTATTTACAAACAGATGATACAGTGCAAGCAAGTGTGATCCCTTATAGGGTGTCTACAAGCCCAGGTGAATAGGTGTGAATAATTATAGCCTGTTATACTGTACAATTGATATCTGTAATTAAGGAGACAAAAGTAGGGGGGGGGAGGGGACAGAGAAATACAATTATTAAAATTATTAAAATTTAAACTAAGATAAACTGTCTCTTTAAGAATGCAACTCACAAATGTAGAGTGGTATGAGCCCCACTCTAAGCTATCTCGCCCAGGGAGGATCAGCCCCTTGGGTACGTGGGATCTGATAAATGATCCTGCGAAACTTGAATGAGGGGTGCCCCCACACAACCGACACAACACGCAAACACTCTCCAGATCTGAACAACTCTGCTGCGGTTCATCCACACTGAAAAAAAGTGTATCTCCGTGACATACAAACTTTTACACACCCTAATCTCTCCAGCTGGACTCCCCTGCCTTAAAGCTGGGGAAGAGGAGATAGGTCACAAAATAAATGCCCAGTGACTCAGGGCATTC